TTTGTGGATAGAACTTAATAAATCGAATGATTAGAAACACAAGAGGTTTGCCCTAGTTTTTTTTTTCTCCCAGGCCCACATATCGAGGCAGCCATCGCACTTCAACTTCTCCGTGATGGATCGCTGCTTCACCCTCTCCGGTGCCGGCTCTTCTCTCCTCGGTGAAGCCTCCTTCGTCTGAAGCCAACGTCGCTCTCTCTCCCTCTTCCAGCTCTGCATTTTTTCCGGCAAGAATATTCTGGGTTTTTGAGCTTTCGTCGCTTCTTCATGTCTCGATTGTATAAATCTCTTCCTGCGATGGCCTTCTATCAGGCTAAGTCACCAGATCTCCTCCTGCAGATTTGGCAACACCGGAGATGTTGCTAGTGTTACCTCCGCATCAGTCGGTTCCGCCAGATCCGTCGGATATTCATCCACTTACGCCTCTTTTCATTTTAAATCATCGAAGATCTTCATCATTTGCTCCATCCATGAGAGCCTATTGTGCTTCATTCAATCGGCCGAGCTTTTCCAATGAAGCCTTACCTCTCTATGAGGAGGTCACTTTACCTCTATATCATGATCCTTTACGTCATATTGATGCTGTTACTCAAAAGCTCCTCCACCAGACCCTCGCCGTTGCTACTCCTAAGATCGGTGATCCAGGGTCATGGTTCCAAATCTTCGCGTTTCTGCGATGCTCTACTACGGAAGTTTTGCAATGTATGTAGTCCATGTCCCGCTTCGGTCTCCCTCTGAAGACTAGCCACAAGCACCAATCAACCAAGTTCGATCATGACTTTTTGTGTTGCTCATCTCTAGTTTGTAGTCGAGACTCTAAATTTGAAAAAGATAAAGGTTTAGACGGTCCCTCTTGTTAGAGTTATGAACCACTGTTTTTGTTCCTACTTGTGGATTCTCAAAGTCATCTTGTCGAAATCATTCTTCCTTTTATTGGGAATGATATTGGTATGCTTCAACTTTGTTTATCGACTATCACAGGCTTGATAGCAAGATTATGTTGGGTAATTATAGGAACCGAAGTTATATTGGTTGATATTACTAGCGTGTGTCTAGGCTCTCAGGTAGATATATCTTTCGCCTTTATGTGACCCATTACTGCTTTATGCAGGTCCATTACTACTTTATGCAGGTTGTGTTCTATAGTATTTCAGAACTTTGTTCGGTTGAGAAGTTATTATCATGATTGCTTTTCTATAAAGCATATCTTCTTCTTAATGTTTCCATTTTTGGTGAGTGGTTTCTAACTTTGTATCGAAGCTTACATTAGATTCGATTATCACCTTGTTTAGCGGCGCAACAAATCAGTCTTCCTCTGCATTTGTCGCCTACATCTCGATTGGTTATGCTGTCCTCGTTGCAGTTTCAGTCTCGGGCATTAGATCACTTAGTGTGTTCTTTGATTCCCAGAGGATCGTCTTACTCCTCAGCAACAATGGCATTGGGTTCTTCCACGATTTTTGTTGTTCAAGCGGTCGGCTCGTATCTATCTTTTTTCCTAATGCTTTATGCCTTGCTTTTGTAACATTGTTATTGTTAGCCTTGATGGTTTTGTTTTCATGGTTTGTAAACATTTCTCTTTTTATGGAAATGAACTAATTAATGGACAAATTTTTGTGAAATTTTTTTTTTAAAAAATAA